TTTCCTTCTGGGACTTTGAAATTAAAACATAACTAAGAGGATATGTATATGATCAGCCTCAAATAAAACATCAGCAACAGGTCTTTAAGAAGTCACCTTGGGCTGGGCAGTAGTGGTGGTGCATGCCTTTAGTCCTAGCACTTAGGAGGCAGAGGCAGGTGGATCTCTGTGAGTTCAAGACCAGCCTGGTCTAAAAGAGCTAGTTCAAGGACAGCCTGCAAAGCCACAGAGAAACCCTGTCTCAAAAAAAAAAAAAAAAAAAAAAATTCACCTTGGTAGATAACTTCTACACGTTTTCACAGTAGATGCTAGGGGAAGCAACCATGTCCCTGGTGACTATAGAAGACTCCTGCAAGCTTGCATGCCAATTTCTGTAGTTCCTGTTCCACACACCCATTCTTCTTCCCCATCTCCCTTCTGTTCCTTCACTGTAAATCACAGCCATGACTGATGAGTCCTCTGAGTTCTCAAAGACAAGCACTGGAAACTGGAGTTTGTCTTTTATACTTCCCACACAGTATCATTAATTTGTTTTCATGGCACATGGAAGTAAAATTTCAAATAATGACTTGTGGACCTGACTCAAAGAAGATGTGATAATTCCTATTAAGTAAATTTTGGAAAAATATAATAAATGGGTTATTCCTTCTAGTTAGCAAACCATTCATTTGGGATAAATGGTTTATGGCATAAATTCCAAATTACTAATTAAAGTCAAATCTTACATCATAAATAGTTACATGATGAAAATTAGTTATCAAAAATGGTTCTTGGAATTCTTTCTCAAAATAACCACAAGACTGTGTGATTGTTTCATCCCTTTTTCAATCACTTGTGGCCCACAGGGTTTCATGCCCAACTGACATTCTTGATTCCAATTTTATAAAGAAAATAAGATCAGACAAGGCTCATTCTTTGTATGTACCATGTTCCAGTCTGAACCATTACATTTACAAACTGAAAATGATCCGTCAACCTAAGCACTGTTGTATCTCATCCGACTCTGGCTACAAGAGCATTGCTCATTCAGTTCCAACTGAGTAAATTTATTCAGTTCCAATGATCACATTTTTACATCTCTCCTGAATCTTTCCCATCAGTTTATCTTCTACATAAAATTCTCCCGTCAGAAGATTCTCTATTGGCTGATCTTCATTTCTTTCATGTGTGTCAGCAGAGCATGCTGAGGATCAGACTTAGGGACTCAAGGAAGCTGAACAAGCATTGACGATCACTGAGCTATATCCCCAACTCTCTACTGTCACATTTCTGTGGCCTTTACAGGAATACTGCTGAAAGAGCCCTTCCTTTCTGTTTTTCTCCCCTCTTCCTCCTCCTGGTCCCACTGAAATCTTTCCCACCAATCTTAAGGATGACTTCAGTGATACATAATCTTGATTATTGTCTATTATCCTCAAGTAACTATAAATAGTGCCCCCTTCACTCTAAAAGTATTTTCATATGGAGATGAGTTACCCATGATGGTTGACCACTAAGGACAATGGTGCTTAAACAAGAGTAAAATTTCAGATCACATCTTTGATTTTTTTCATATTCCTGCAGAGGCGACTGCCTATTCCCTCCTTTTAAATTACTTTCTTCTATTAGCTTATAATTTGTTCTTCTTCAACAACCTTTGCTCTTTAACATCCTTTGCTAGATTCAAATTATTTGCTAAGTGATGTGATGAGGATTCAATCCTTTTTCTCATGCTTCACATACATGTAGCTCCATGATTTACATACCCTGTGTAATTAACACCTGAATTGCCATCTCCAATTAAGCCATCTCTCCTAGACTTCTAATGACGCTATGAGGCCCCTTTCCTTCAAAGTTTAACAGATATTCCGAGTTTAATATTTGCATAGATGACCTCCCAACTGCTACATGTAACTCTTCTCCGACACTCTATTGTTAGTTAACAATACTGAATAGTTATGCAGATTCACAGCTGTGGTGTAACTGATATTTCTATCTCTCTTCCACTACTCATCCATTTGTAAATTAAATGTACTGACTACCTGTTATTATATCATACATAAATCAAGAATCTACAATAATTCTTCGTCTCAGAGACTAAAAGAACCAATTGCTCTTACTCCACACCCACCCTCTTGCAATTCAGTCTTTACAGAGTGGTGTGAACACTTTAAAACACATTTCTATCTCAAACTCTTGGCAATCTATCATGCTAGGCATAAAATTTCAGATCCTTATCATGGCTTCTGACATCTCAGAAATGATCTACCATCCTCTGACCATCTGCCACATTCCAAATATGAATGCATAGCAAGAGCCCACATGCAAGAAACTTTTCATTTTCTGTTCCTCTGCCTGGAAAAACAAATAAAAATTTGTTTATTTCGTCCAGGTTTTTAATCAAATACTTCTTCAACCATAGACTTGTTATAATATACCCTACTTATACTAGTTATTCTATTTAATTTCTTTTCTGAATTCTGTATACTCAGTTCATATCATGACAAATTTTCCACAATATTTTTATTAAATAATCACATGATCCATACAAGTACATAAGAATGAATGTAGATATTAATATATAAACAAACCTGGACATATTAATCTTATTGGCAGGCCTCAGGGATTTAACAGTATGTTCTCATATGACATATGTATCTCATATCTGTGTATAACACACAAAAAAATAAGAGACCCAGAGAAAGCTATTGAGGTTCAAACTTCAAGCTGTTGATCAGAAAACCAAAGCAGCTCTCAGCTTTGGCTCAGGCTGAAAGGGCTGATCCGAGCTCTTCACCAAGCCTGAAACTGCTGCCTCTCCTCAGTGTGGCTGGAGAATGAATGCATGATACTGAGGCCTTGCTCCTATCTATCTTGTATGCCTCCCTAATGCTGGGATTAAAGGTGTGTGATCCCAGATGCTGAGATCATCTCTGTGTGAGCTGTTTCTCTTTAGAAGTGGATCAACCTTGTATAGATCTGAGTGGCCTTGGACTCACAGGGATCTACTCTTAATCCTGAGTCCTAGGATTAAAGCTAGGAGGTGGTAGTGTAACAGCTTCTGGCTGTTGGGATTAAAGGTGTGTGTCTGGCTTCTATGGCTTGTGGCTGACTTTGCTTTCTGAATCCTCAGGCAAGCTTTAATAAATCATAAATAATAAATCACCACATCTGTGCAAGTGAAATAAGAACACAATACTAACAATATAGCAACTAAAATATTTAGCCAGACCATTTAGTTCCGATTCTAACACCACTGCTCCATTTGCAACTTGAAGTCACCTTGTGGCTTCTACATTACTTTGGTCATTTGTAACACACACAAAAAAACTTCTTATCTGATTGAGTTTTATAAATATTCAGTAAGTCTAGAGTATGAAGAAACTTGAACACTGATAGCTATAAGAGGAAAGGACTCAGACATGTATAGAGGTAAGGTTCATCTTCTGATGCCAGAAGGGCTAAGAAAGATGGATTTCAGCTTCTGAAAGATCAAATTAGCTGACCTATGTAATTATACCTAGCAAAATTGTCCATGGTAAAAACAAACTAAAGCAACTCATAGATTATTATACTTAGCAAAATTGTCCATGATAAAAACAGATTAAAGCAACTCTTAAATATAAACCAATTCTATAAAAGATACTGAAACTAAAGAAACACAAACACACACACACACTCAAGAAACTACAGAGGAAAAATAAACAATACCAAGACAACTAATCAAAATGTTGCTCTTATGCTCATTAGGAAAACTGAAGGATTTATGTTTGAGGGCTGTGAAGCTTTACTCAAACATAAATCCTCCAGTTTTCCTAGTGAGCATAAGAGCAACATTTTTGTTTTGGGGAAAAAAAAAGTGAAGCACTAAGGTCCTAGAAGTAAAAGTAATGAGATATGATGAAATGTTTATTTGTTGTTTGACCTTTAAATAGATGAGTTGTAAAAGAGAATGTGTCAAAAACATACTGAGAAAATTTGTAACAGTGATTTAATTTTCATCGTTACAAAAATTTTCTGGAAGTCACAGTCTTCTGAATAGTCCCCAAGGTTCTGCCACCTGCTTTATACTATGCTTGTTTTTAAATTGCATGTTTCCATTTGTAGAAAAATGTATGAACTGGAGATCAGTATATTAAGCCAAATACACCAGACTCAGAAAGATGAACATCACACCATATCTCCCATATGTTGTGATTATTGGTTTTATGTCAGCTTGACACACAAACTAGAGTTATCTGAAAGGAAGACTCTTAATTGAAGAAATGCCTTCATAAGATCTAGCTGTGAGGCATGTTTTAATTAGTGATTGATGGGGGAGGGTCCAGCCCATCATGCATGGAGTCATCCCTGGGCTGGTGGTCCTGGGTTCTATTAAAAAGCAGGCTGAGCAAGCCATATGGGGCAAGCCAGTAAGCAGCACCCTCCACAGCCTCTGCATCAGCTCCTGACTCCAGGTTCCTGCCCTACTCCTGTTTGAATTCCTGTTCTAACTTCCTTTGATGATGAACAGCTCTATGGAAGTGTAGGCCAAATAAACCCTTTCCTCCCCAGTTTATTTTTTCTTCATGCTGTTTTGTTACAGCAATAGTAATTCTAACTAAGCTATATGTGGAAGCTGTGTGTGTGTGTTTGCACACACATGATGCATAAAAGTAACAGATGGACTATGGAAAGGAAGGAAGTGTAAAGGAAGAGAGAGAGAAAATAGAGACTAATAGGAAGAAAGAGTAAGCAGGGAGGAGGGATAAGGGTTGAGGTAATATGAGGCAAGTACAACAATATCTGTATGTATGTATGGATATAATGTTGTAATAAAGCCCATTATTTCATACACTAAAAAATTAACACAAAAGTAATTTTAGCAAAAAGATGATTTTAGATTTAATCCAAAATCTAATATCTAACTAAATGAATTTTAAAAATGCATTTCTAATCAAACTAAAAGTAAATTTTTAAGAAAAGAAAAATCAGATATCCTCTATGTGAAGGTCAATAACAAAAAATTGGGGAAATCATACCTCATCCGTGTTATAGATTATCTGAAGACCTGAAGAAATCATTTCCACCAGGTAAAGGAGAAAAAGTGACACTGCATTTATCTGAAAACAGTAACAGTTAAATGTTAAAGGAAAGAGTGATATGAAATTAAATATACATGCTGCAATTTTCAACAACAGTGCCATATAAAGCACATTTGAAAAATGTATCTTGAATAAAACAAAAGTTTTCCAACATCCTACCTTACATGATTGCATTTAAATTTGGAATATGAAGAATAAGCAGTCTGTAGAGGCATAAAGTGAACTACAGGTTGCTTAGGGCACTTCAGGGAAAATGGAGAATAGCTGATTTTGCTTAGAGTTTGAGGGTAAAGAAATGTTCTAAATTTGAATGTGGTAATTGTTGTACAACTTAGAATATACTAAAAACACAGAAGGATACACCTCCAATAGATAAACTATATGGCATACAAATTATATCTCAATAAAATTGTTATTAAGTGAATAAAATGTAAGCAAAATTATGTAATGATACTGAAAACCTGAGTTAAAAAGTGAAAGTGAGCTGTAGCTTGCATTTCTTTTGTTTTAATTTTTATTTATTTATTACATTGCAATCCCAGTTCCCCCTCCCTCCTGCCTCCCCCACCCCTACCACCTGCCACCTGCTCCTTGGACAGGATTGCTAGCTGACACATGGGTATAATTGAACAGGAAGAATAACTTTTTTTTTTTTTTTTTTTTTTGGTTTTTTTCGAGACAGGGTTTCTCTGTGTAGCTTTGGAGCCTATCCTGGTACTCGCTCTGGAGACCAGGCTGGCCTCGAACTCACAGAGATCCACCTGTCTCTGCCTCCCGAGTGCTGGGATTAAAGGCGTGTGCCACCAACGCCCGGCTAGGAAGAATAACTTTAAATGTTCTTAACATAGCAGGTAAGGTACTATTGACAAAAATTGAGTATTTGAAAATAACTATTAAGAAAGACTTTGCATGTCTGCTACACTATGAAATTTTAAATGTCTGAGATAATAGATATGCCACTTGTCTTGTTCTGATCATTGTATCTGCTTATTAAAATTATATACAGTATCCCATGAATATATAGAGTGCTTACCAGTTAAAAATATTTTTCATTATACATATTTCCCCAAAGAATTAAAATGGCATATGTGAACAACAACAACAATAAAAACTTTAATTCTACTCTTTAAGAGGACTACTCTTTTTTGATGTAAGCTCTTTGAGACTTTTAAAGCCTTCCTGTAAATTTAGTAATCCTGAGGTTTTAAACTTTAGTACATTTTATTTGTCTATATGCGCGCGCATGTGTGGGAGCACACACACACACACACACACACACACACACACACACACACACACACACACACACACCACAGTTCATGAGTGGAGGTCAGAAGTCAGATTTCCAGACCTGGTTCTCTCCCAGGTCATCAGGTTGAGTGGCAGGTGCCTTTATATACTGAGCCATCTCACTAATCCCAAGGTTTTTTTTTTTTTTTTTAAAGGAAAGTAAATGTTACACACTTTTTATTTTGATTTTAATAATCCATAGCAAAGTTTTAGATAATACATTTAACTGCATCATCATTAAAAACAAACAAACGAACACAAAGTCTCTGCTACAAAGAAATGGGGTTCTGTGTAGCATTTTCTGTTTGGAGACATAACACTAAAGTTTAGAATTCATCTAAATTTATAAATAAACTTTCATTTCTCAAGGCAGGTTTCTTCTTCTAAGTATAAATAATAATACAAGCCACTCAACTGATTCATTAATTCAATAAGATATTTACAACAGGATGACGAAACTATAAAAAAGGAGAAACTCCAGCTAGAGAGAGAGTTCAGCTGGTAGTGTGCTTGTCATAAATGAGGACATAATGATCTCCAGAACCCATGCTGAGTGTGGTGGCATCCTCTTGTAATCCCAGTGCTGGAGAGGCAAAAAAACAGATCCCTAGGGCTCACTAGCTAGCCAGCCCAGCCTAATCAGGGAACAGTAAGCCAATGACAGACCCTATCTCAAGTTGAATAGTACCCACATAACTACACTGGAGTTTTTCCCTGGCCTCTGTATGCACTCATATACTATATATAGATGTATGTACATGCATACCTATAGTGTATGTGTACACACAAGTACAGCTGCACATAAGAAAAACTCTTATTTTTAGTAAGGAATATGTGATTAATAAGTACCTTACTCCAAAATCACAGAATACATAAGTAAACAAAAAGAAAATCTGTTGAGGAGAAACAGTATATATATATATATATATATATATATATATATATATATATATGCTATTAATATCTTACAAATAAGACACAGGATATCCATCTTAAAATACAAAGATGTGGGGGTGATAGTGAAAACAAAACAAACAATTTGTGGTACATTCTCAGCATAGGTGTAGAATTTAACAGAGCACAAATCTGATGGGTCTCAAATATCTGTGATATTCCCATACAAGTGTTCAGTCTCAGTGAAGGCTGATATACTAAAAATGACCTGTGGCCCAACAAAAACTTTTTTGAATAATTGTTATACCCTGTTGATGCCTTCTATTTCCAAGTGTAGAAATTCTTTTAAATATGTAAACAAGCTTCACTCACTGAAGGAAGAGTAGGCATTCACCTTTTAAAGAGCAATAACCCATCTGATCACTCCATGAACACGTTCTGTTGTAATATTCCATGCAGTAGTCTAAAGAGGAATAATCCACCTGATCACTCCATGAACACGTTCTGCTGTAATATTCCATGCAGTAGTCTAAAGAGCAATAATCCACCTGATCACTCCATGAACACGTTCTGCTGTAATATTCCATACAGTAGTCCTTTCAGCCCTGTCAGTTACCAATGAACTTTCTTTTCCATTTCAAGATTCGTTCACACTACTATTTTAAAGTTACAAAATTTACTTTGAAAAAGTGTAAGCAGCCTCAAAAATGCCATGATATGGAGTATAAGTGGTAGCGAAGTAAATCTTTAATTTTTCTTTTACCTGAAGATGGCCGTATTCTTCATAGGTGAGCAACTCGTCTCCTGTGTGCACACTGAAAATGGAGTGAAGACATGTTGTGGGCCGTGGGTCTTGCTTAAACTGCTGGACCTACAATCAAATATAAAATATGAATGATGGTCTTTCCCATACTCATCTAAAACTGAGAATGTTAGGTATTTTCAAGCAAACTTTCTTATAAGGATAGCTAAAGCTTATAGGCTGGGGAATGGTCAAAGTTGAAATATCACCCTTTCTAAGGAAATGTGATAGATAAAGTTCATTAATGGCTAACTTATTAGTGTGAACAAAATTGTCAAGTGATAGTTCACAGCATTGAATTTTAATGGAGTGGGGAGCATGTGAGCATGGCAGCAACAGTTTGTTACAATGTTTTGCATATTACTTGATTTTTTAAACATTTCATTTATTTACAGTGTGAGTACATTCTGTATGTGCATGTGTGTATACATGTGTGTGTGTGTGTGTGTGTGTGTGTATGAGTGAGGGTGAGTGGTGGTTGTGTTAGGAAAAGACCACCAGTCACATATGCAATCAGCAAGAGTGTTTGTTCCAGCATGCAGGGGTCCACCATCTGACACAGTGCTGAGATGGTGACCTGAGCTCGCAGGCTCCTTTTGATCATTGAGCAGGGATGTATTGGGTGGGTAGGTGCATTTTAAACCGGCTGGTGGGAGGGCTGTAAAGGATATGTACGGGTGGTTACAGGCTTGGTTGCTGGTTTTAGAGGTTATGAACTTTCTAGATGCAGGTTGGGGAAAGCTATCTTTAGCTAGCATAAGGTGACAGACTCTTTCTGTTTGGTTGCCTCTGGGCTGTGATTTTTTTTTTTTTCCAAGAATTGCTCATTCAGTTACAATGACCTGAAACTGAGGCCTAGTTTCTGACTAGGCCATTATTAAGAGCCTATCCATGGCATTAGTTTGGCTCTCTCAATTTGAATATGATTGGCACTATTAGGAGGTGTAGCTTTGTTGGAGGAAGTGTGTCACTGTGGAAGTGGACTTTGAGGTCTCCTATATGCTTAGCCATGTCCAGTGTCTTAGACCACTTCCTATTGCTGCAGATCAATATGGAAGAACTCTCAGCTCCTTCTCCAGTACCATGTCTGCCTGCATGCTGTCTTGCTTTCCATTATGATGATAATGGACTAAACCTCTCCACTGTATGCAAGCCACCCCAATTAAATGTTTTCTTTTATAAGAGTTGCTGTAGTCATAGGGTCTCTTCCCAGCAATAGAAACCCTGACTAAGACAGTGTATATACATGTGCCACACATGTTATGGAAAGTTAGAAGACAACTTGTGGGAGTGAGTTCTCTCCTTTCATCATGTGGGGCCTGAGGATTGAACCTCAGTCATCACTTGGTGGCAGGCACCTTTACCTGCTGAGCCACCTTGTTAGCCAGCCTTATATGATTTTGAGTAAAGCATACGTTTCTTATGTAAACTAAGGTCCCTGTGATGGTACTCAACTATACAGTTACCTGGGAATGCTTAACATGACAGTTGAATGGAAAAGCTTTCTCTAAGGATAACACACTTTAATTATGGTACAGCAAATACATTTTCATTTCTCATCCAGACATAATTACCAAGGTAACAATTCTATGAAGATATAGAACTCATTTTTATTTACTAATTACATGACAGTTGCTTTTCTTTTTTCCCAAGTTGGCTGTCTCTTGCTATGTTGGCCAATCTGGTCTCAAATAACAAGCTTAGGGGATTTATCCCTTTCTCTGGAGTAGCTAGGACTATGGGCCAATGCTCCTGTCTTAATCATTGTAGATTACAAAGTACAAATTCTAAACAATACAAGAGATAACTCCAAAGACAGGAACATCCATCCCCTTTCAGGACCTGCTCAATTGGATTTGAACAACATTTACTGATGCCAATGTTCATTCCATGAACTGTTGAAATGCACTACTGGCTCCAAGGAAAACTCATAGGAACTCAAACTCATAGTGAAGTCAGATGTGGGTAACCTGGGGGCCCACTACTTGCTAGTAGTCTCTGAAGTCAGAGACAGTTTTAGAGTACTGAGCCTTCAGCCTCTGGAAGCTACTACACTGAGTCCAGGTAGTTTCTGGTAGATCTGAATTAAACAGTAGAATGATGGCTATCTCAAAATAAATATTGGCTTGGTGTGAAGCATCCATACATTTGGCAGTAGAAGTAATGTGAATAAAGAAAGGTTCTCCATTCACTCTCTTGTATGACTCTAGAAGCTACCTTCTCCAAAATAGTACCTACTTTTTACAAGTGACTAATCAAATTATAATTAATTAAAATTGCATAAGCTTATGTAAGCCAAGAAGTAGCATGTAGATTTCTGGCCATATTTCAATTGCTCCATATCAACATGAGGCAACTATATATGCTCAATATGGACACAAAGCGTCTCTATCATGACAGAAAGTTCTATTCTAGGTCTAAGAGACCTGGTGTCATGGCCCTGCACAAACAAATATGACTAAAGTCCACAAAATCTTAGTCAGGATCTATCAGCAAGATATAAGGATGGAGAACACAAGGGACACACTATGAAAGACAGTCTTCTGGTCATGACATGGTCACTGCACTTATGAATTCACTGCAGCTATGATTACCCCCATGAAAGCAGCCAACAAAGTAGTCAAAATTCCAACAGGCAGCTTAACTGGACTCAAAGGTTTGCAAAAACAAATAGGGGGGAAAGGTAGAAGGAGCTGGAGAGATGGCTAAGCAGATAAGAGCACTGGCTTCAATCCCCATCACACACATGTGGTTTACAACCATCTGTAACTCTAAGCCTAGGGGATCCAACACTCTCTTCTAGCCTCCAAGAGCACTAGGCAAACATCTGGTACATAAACATAAAATAAATAAATACTTTTTAATGTAGAAGACATGAAGTGGGGGTGAACATGTTGGGGTGGATATGATCAGAACATATTACTTGTATATACAAAATTGTCAAAGAATAAAAAATAGTGTATTAAAAAGCAACAACAGAATGAGGAGATAATTTGGGATGCATATTTTCCATTTATAGAGTAACTGAGGGACTCAGAGAAGACAGACATTCTATTTCTATATAAAAACATAAGCAATAGCCTGGAGCTACACAAGCAAAAGTCATTCTTTTCTTACTGCCATGATTGTTATCTCAAAGAAATGAACATTATTCTAGACTCCCAATCAAAAATATGGCTGAACTGACCTACTATATGTAGACAATAAAGGGGCTGAAAAAGAAATCAGAGAAACATCACCCTTTACAATAGCCACAAACAACATAAAATATCTTGGGGTAACTCTAACCAAACAGGTGAAAGACCTGTATGACAAGAACTTTGAGTCATTAAAGAAGATACCAGAAAATGGAAAGGTCCCCATGCTCTTGCATAGGTAGGATCTACATAGTAAAAATGGCAATCTTAACAAAAGCAATCTACAGATTCAATGCAATCCCCATCATAATCTTAGAACAATTCTTCATAGACCTTGAAAGTACAATACTCAACTTTACATGTAAAAACAAAAAACCCAGGATAGCCAAAAACAACCCTGTACAATAAAGGAACTTCTGGAGGCATCACCATCCCTGACTTCAACCTCTGCTATAGAGCTGTAGTCCTGAAAACAGTTTGCTATTGGCACAAAAACAGGTAGACCAATGGAATCAAATTGAAGATCCTGATATTAATCCATACACCTATGAACACCTGATTTTTGATAAAGCAGCTAAAACTATACAATGGAAAAAAGAAAGCATCTTCAACAAATGACGCTGGCATAACTGATATGTAGAGGATTGCAGATAGATCCTTATCTACAGCCATATACAAAACTTAAGTCCAAATGGATCAAAGACCTCAATATAAATCCAGCCACACTGAACCTCTTAGAAGAGAAAGTGGGAGGTACCCTTGAACAAACTGGCACAGGAGACCACTTCCTGAACATAATGCCAGTAGCACAGACACTAAGATTGACAATTAATAAACAGGACCTCCTGAAACTGAGAAACTTCTGTAAGGCAAAAGACATAGTCAACAAGACAAAATGGCAGGCCGCAGAATGGGAAAAGATCTTCAGCAACCCTACATCTGACAGAGAGAGGGCTGATTTCCAAAATATACAAAGAACTCAAGAAGCTAGCCACCAAAACACCAAACAACGCAATTAAAAAGTGGGGTTCAGAAATAAATAAAGACTTCTCAATATGGGGAATTTAAATGGCTGGAAGACACTTAAGAAATTGCTCAACATCCTTCTCCACCAGGGAAATGCAAATCAAAACAACTCTGAGATACCATTTTGTACCTGTCAGAATGACTAAAATAAAAAACACCAACGACAGTTTATGCTGGAAAGGATGTGGAAAAAGGGAGACGCTTCTCTATTGCTGGTGGGAGTGAAAACTTGTACAGCCACTTTGGAAATTGGTATGGCAGTTTCTCCAGGAAATGGGAATCAGTCTACCTCAAAATCCAGCAATTCCACTCTTAGGCATATACTCAAAGGATGCACATTCATACAACAAGAATATCTGTTCAACTGTGTTGATAGCAGCATTATTTGTAATAGCCAGAACCTGGAAGCAACCTAGATGCCACTCAACTGAAAAATGGATACAGAAAATGTGGTACAGTTACACAATGGAGTACTACTCAGCAGAAAAAAATAAATAAAACAAAAAAAAAAAAAACAGAATCTTGAAATTTGCAGACAAATGGACAGAACTAGAAGAAACCATCCTGAGTGAGGCAACCCAGTTACAGAAAGACAAACATGGTATGTACTCAACCATTATATGGACATTAGACATAGAGCAAAGGATTACCAGTCTACAATCCACACCTCCAGAGAAACTAGGAAACAAGGAGGACCCTAAGAAAGACATACAGGGTCCCCAAGTGACAGAGAAAGGGACAAGAGCCCCTAAGCAAATTGGGAGCATGGGGGGAGGGAGGAGGGAGTTAGGATAAAGAAGAGGGGGAAGGAGAACATGAGGGATCAGGAAGATTGAGTGGGGAGAGGAATAGAGGAGAACAAGGAAAGAGACACATCAGTAGAGGGAGCCACTATAGGTTTAAAGA